TTCAGGGTTATAATGAGCCATTACGCAGTCGCTGGTCAAACTGTATTTTAGCTCGTTGAATGCAAGCTGCTGTGGTTTTCCCCAAGCCCATTTGGCCCCCATTCGAGTTAACTGCCTAAGTGGCTCGGAAATGGTGGCCAAGTTTGGAATGAAGCGAGCACAATAATTGACCAAACCAAGAAAACTTCGCACCTCCCCGGCATTGGTTGGAGCATTGGTTCTCAATAAACCAAGAGCAATTGCTGTAGACTTTCCAAGTAAGCAGCCTGAGTCGATTGTATTCACGACGATAAATTGGGCATTGGTAGATGAGGCTGTTTCACCGGAAACAGCTGGAATCGTAACCATGGCATCGAATTTCCCCAGTACCGGAAGTGGTGTAACAGCTCCATAGGAAAACAACTTTACACGCGAATCTGAGAGTTTTATAGTGTTTTGGGGTCCATTATAAAGACGATTGAAAGTGTTCTTGTCCAGAACATTCACACTGGCTCCCGAGTCAATAATCACTGGAATTTCCGTGCCATGGACAGTAATCGTGACGCTGGTCTGTTGCTCGCTGTTCTTTGGGTCATTCAATGTAAATACATATTCGTCATCGTCAGAAAAGTTGTTGTTCTCTCGCTGTTCAATGTGGCGAACTCTTTCGGATTTCTCTGGACGCCTGGCGCTCTTACAAACACGACCAAAATGTCCAAGTTTGCCACACTTATTGCATGCTTTGTTATTGGTTGGGCACGAAGCATCTTTTGCTCGATGACCGTCACGACCACAACAATAACAAGCTCGTTTGGGAAGTCGATCGTCTGACGGCGAGTCTTGACGCTTTGGGCTAGCTGCAGGACGCTCTGAACGAAATTCTCGACTGGTATTGGTATTCGATCGAGGCTGGATAACATATGCAGAGCTTTTCTCAGCATCGCTCTCGGAATTCTTGGTGCCTTCGATTTGTTGTGCTTGGCGATCAGACGCTTCGAGGGCTCTGGCAATGCGTAAAATAACATCGAGGGTAAGGGTTTCTTCGCGAAGTAACCGACGCCGTAAACGCGTTGAATAACATTTCTCCAGGACCTGATCGCGAATCATTTCGTTGGACAAGGTACCATAATCACAGGTTTGTACTAATCGTTTGAGTCTAGTAACGTACGTATCCATCGTTTCCGAGGGGTCTTGGGTGGCTTGTCTAAACATATGGCGTTCGAACGGGATATTCTTTTGCGGTTTGAAGTAGGCATCCAACTTTTCGAGAGCAGTAGCGTAGTCATCTCCCGTGTCACTTAGTGTTTCGAAAACTTCATGTACTTCTGGTCCAGCTAAATGCAACAACAATGCCCGTTGTCGTTTCTTGTCCGTCACGTTCGAAGCGACCAGAAAATATTCGAAACTTTTAACCCATTTTGTCCAACGTTGACTGAGCGTAGCACTGTCAGATAACACAGGGAAGGGTGCTAGAGTGGGAAGTTGCAAAGCTGCCATAGGTTCAATGTCTCGTCGCCAATATTATATTCTTTTATTTCTCTAAACGTGTACTTGTAACTACAAAGTCTGCCATGCATATAATATATTCACTAAGTCCACATGCAAGCTTTTCCCGCCATCTCCAAGTCACGTGTCCACCGCTGGACACTATACGGTGAAAGCTGTAGATAGCGTGGATTTGTTGTGTCCATCGATAGTCTGCTTAATGTTTGGCATACAGCTGTAGCTGATCTTGACTGTATTACGGTTGAATATTTTGTGTAATGGGTGATCTGCGGGAAATTCCTCGTCAATTATCTTCAAGAAAGTCTGGCCAACGTTAGTCGAAACATTCTTACTATATGGTGGATTATACCATATAATTTTTCTTTTATGGCTTCGGGTTTTGTTATTAGTTGTTAGGTTTAGGGGGTGTTTGAACTGTAGCTTGTGGTTGTATCCACTTTTGTCAAGGGCTTGTTGATATGGCGGGGAGGCTTGTTCGAATGAATCTTGATCAGAGGATATCTCGGTTAGTCGTTTGTTAATGGATAATGGAATATTACGCAGAACACGACGGCTTGGGCATTATCAAAGCAACACCGCGCCAAATAGAACTAATTAAGAAGGATCTGTGCACTTTGTTCAACAATCATGGTCTGAAAATTACTATCGAAGCGAACAAAAAGATCGTGAATTTCCTTGACGTCACACTGAATCTATCCACTGGTAAATATCATCCATACTCTAAGCCTAACAACACACCTCTTTATGTGCATAGCAAGTCTAACCACCCACCTAGTGTTCTGCGTAATATTCCATTATCCATTAGCAAACGATCGACTAACCGAGATATCCTCTGATCAAGATTCATTCGAACAAGCCTCCCCGCCATATCAACAAGCCCTTGACAAAAGTGGATACAACCACAAGCTACAGTTTAAACACCCCCTAAACCTAACAACTAATAACAAAACCCGAAGCCGTAAAAGAAAAATTATATGGTATAATCCACCATATAGTAAGAATGTTTCGACTAATGTTGGCCAGACTTTCTTGAAGATAATTGACGAGGAATTTCCCGCAGATCACCCATTACACAAAATATTCAACCGTAATACAGTCAAGATCAGCTACAGCTGTATGCCAAACATTAAGCAAACTATCGATGGACACAACAAATCCACGCTGTCTACAGCTTTCACCACGAATAGTCCCGACATGTGCAGTTGCCCTAAAAACAATAAAGAACTGTGCCCACTGTCTAATAAATGTATCACTGAATCGGATGTATATCAAGCCACATTCACTACTAAGGACAAAACTACCAATAGACCTCCCCAAACATATGTCGGCCTCACTGAAAACTTGTTCAAAATAAGACTTGCGAACCATAAAGCATCATTTAGCTCTTTTGACAAACGCAACGCTACTGAACTTAGCAAATATGTGTGGGAATTGAAAAATCGAAACATCCATTATACAATCAATTGGAAACTATTAAAACGAGCTAAACCTTACTTAACTGTGCTTCAAATAGATGTAATTTGTGTTTATGGGAGAAATACTTTATTATTTGTAAGCCCAAAATGGCCACTTTAAACAAACGTAATGAGTTAGTATCAGCATGTAGGCATAATAAAAAATTCCTTTTAAGTAACATTTAAAAGCTAGACATTTAAATATACCGCGGTGTGTTAATCTTTCCGCGTCCTGTCAGCTTATCATATAACATGTTCATTAATTTAAATCGCGTGCTTTGTAAATAGGATTAAGTTTCATGTCTCATCCACTTGTACATATAACCTTGTAAGTTTTAGTCTATAGTCATTAGGTCAATTTATCTGAAGAGTGCCACATACTGTGGTACGAAACTATTTAGTAATAAAGATGCCTAGTGGATTTTGTTGATTTGTTGTACCTTAATTCAAATATGCTCTGGTTTTCCATTGAGCACTTTGCCAAAAGTTTTTTATAACCAACAAAACCAAATTTTATATATATATATATATATATATATATATATATATATATATATATATATATATATATATAAAATATATATATATATATATATATATATATATATATATATATATATATATGTTATATATATATATATATATATATATATATATATATATATATATATATATATATATATATATATATATATATATATATATATATATACTATTTAAACTAGTAGGAGTGTTTTATCAGATATAAAACGCGAGGCGCAGCCGAGCGTTTTATGTCTGATAAAACACGACAACGAGTGTTTTGAATAGCTTAAAATACGACTACAAAAGAATACTAATTAGGATGAACCATTATATAATCATACTAATTAGGA